CTCAGGCTCAAGGTCAAAGCTAGACTCAGGCTCTCGACGCTCAGGGGTGGAAGCACGGGTCTCAGGCTCTCGACGCTCAGTCAGGGACTCTGACACCGCAGTGCAAGGAGCAGGAGCAGGCAGTGGGGAGTGTGGTAGGAGCGATGGCTGTGACTGGTCCACTGGCGGACACAGCAACGGAGGAGTAGAACCTGCCAGAGGGAAGCCAGTAGCACCTGGCGGAAGACTGAGAAGGTGGCGAAGAGCACCAGTAGCTCCCGTACCTCCAGCACGAGCAGCTCCTCCAGTACCCCCAGCAACACCTCCAGCACCAGTAGCACCAGCACCTCCAGCACCACGAGCTCCGACAGCGCCAGCACCTCGAGCACCAGTAGTACCTCCAGCACCTCCAGTGCCTCCAGCTCCAGCTTAAGCGCCTCCAGCACCAGTAGTACCTCCAGTACCTCCCGTGCCAGCAGCTCCAGTAGCACCTCCAGCACCTCCAGCACCAGCAGCACCACCTGCTCCGGCAGCTCCAGCACCTCCAGTACGAGCACCTCCAGGACCAGTAGCTCCAACACCTCCAGTACCTCCAGCACCAGCACCTCCAGGGTCAGCACCTCCAGCACCTCCAGCACCAGCAGCAGCTCCAGTACCCCCAGCACCAGCAGCACCTCCAGCACGAGCAGTACCTCTAGTACCTCAAGTAGTACCTCCAGCACCTCCAGCACCAGCAGCACCTCTTGGACTAGTAGCTCCAGCACCAGCCAGACCATACCCTCCACCACCAGGACTGCCTCGCCGAACGACCCACGCACGAATCGCCTGCGGCGAGAGCGTCTCAAGTAGAGCAGGCTGCGGTGGCTGTCCAGCTCCAGTGCCTCCAGTAGTGGTAGCTCTAGCACCTCCAGCACCAGAAGCACCTCTAGTACCCCCAGCTCCAGCACCTCCAGCACCAGCAGCAGCTCTAGTACCTCCAGTAGTACCTCCAGGCCTATTAGCTCCAGTACCTCCAGCTCCAGGACCTCCAGAAGGACTCGCAGCACCCCCAGAGTCAGCACCCGAAGTCTCAGCACCCTCAGAGTCAGCACCCAAAGTCTCAGTACCCCCAGGCTCAGTACCCTCAGGCTCAGTACCCTCAGTCCCAGCACCCGCAGGCTCAGTGCCCTCAGTCCCAGCACCCGCAGGCTCAGTACTCTCAGTCCCAGAACCCGCAGGCTCAGTACCCTCAGTCCCAGCACCCGCAGGCTCAGTACGCTCAGTCTCAGCTCCAGTGTCCACTGCAGAAGGCTGCAGAGGCGGGAAACCGGGGGGGGTAGCCAAACGAGGAGAGCAGTCACCCCCAGACGTACCACTCCCAGGCCCAGCTCCAGCAGCCTCAGCTCCAGAGTCCACAGCAGCAGGCTGCGGAGGTGGCGAAGACGGCCGAGGCGGGAAACCCGGGGGGGTCTCCAAGCGAGAAGTGTGGCGAGTGGTCGCCTTGTCGTCGGCGACGGCGTCACCCCCCTCAGCTGAGTCAGAGGAGTCAGAAGAGATCACAACTGGCTCATCCAAGGGGGGTGGGTCTACCTGGGACACACCTGAGGGAGTAGGACCCTGTGGGGGAAGGGGTTCTACCGGAGGGGGGACTGGTACCAGGAAGAGAGGCGCGAGGGGGACCGGGTGGGACGTGTGTGGGTGAAGTCGGTAGTAACAGACCGACTCGTCGAAGGTGACGTCCTGAGAGGACAGAACACGACGCGAGGCAGGGTGGTAGAACTGCCAGGGTGGAGCGTCGGTGGGGAAGCCCAGGAAGACACAGCGGAGAGTGCGAGGAGAGAGCTTGCTCGCTTTGGTATCGCGAACAAGGGAGAGCGCACCCCAGACCCGAAACGACGACGCATCACCAGGCTGTCCCGTCCAACGGAGTGTGGGCGAGGTCTCTGGAGCAGAGACACGGGGCCAGAGGTTGAGCTGATGCGCGGCGTATCGGACCGCAAACGGCCACAGGAAATGGGGAGCAGCCGCATGGATCATGGAGGTACGAACAACCTCCATGATCAGGCCAATGCGACGCTCAGCGATCCCATTTTGCTGCGGAGAGGCCGGAAGCGTGAACGACTGGCGGATGCCCTCATCCTGGCAGAACGTCTCAAGGACGCCAGAGGAGAACTCACCACCCCTGTCAGAGTGCAGACGCAGGACTGGGAAGTCCTGCTGAAAGCGCTCGTGCAGCTGGAGACGAGCAGCACGGATCCAGGGGATCAAACCACCGCTGACGTCCGCCTTGCGACGCAAGGGGAAGACTGTGGTGTAGCGTGTGTAGTCGTCAACAACCAGCAGGAAGTAGCGCTCCAAGTCCGTCCCACCGACTGGGGCCGGGCCCCACACGTCCAGGTGGAGAGTCTGCAGAGGAGCAGTGGTCGGAGGAAACTCGGAGAAGTGAGGAGCGGCGCGCTGCCACCCCTCGACGCAAGGAAGGCACGGCGGCGCAAGTGAGCGCGGGAGGGGGGGCAGGGTCCTGGGGAGGCCAGAGACAAGGAGACGGGAGTGCATACTGCGTAGACGCTGCAGGGAGGGGTGACCAAGACGGTGGTGCCAGCGCTGAGTCTCGTGCGTGAGTACTCTGCATGAGCAAGACGCAGCTAACTGCCCCGACGCAGACGCCCGACTCGACGCAGCCACCTGACCTGACTCAGCCACCTGTGCAGACGCAGTGGTCAGTGTGTACAGACTAGACCCAGGCTGTCGAGTGAACGTAGCCAGGTGACGGCCAGTCCGGGAGCACGTACAGATCGCCACACGCTGCCCTCCAGGAATAAAGATATCAACCCAGACATCCTGAATGGCAGCGTTGCTCACCAAGTTCGTCGAGAACGTGGGGAGGTGGAGACCTGACAGAGAGCCGGAGGGGACTGCTAGACAAGGGAGGACCGTGGAGGCTCTCGCAACTACTGGGCCCCCGGAGGGGTCAGCCAGTGAGACTGGGACAGGTGCTGTGAGTGGTGTGACTGTGGTGCAATCACGAAAGAAGCAACGTGACGCGCCTGAGTCAAGCGTGAAAGTGTGCAAGACCTCAGCTGAGGCAGGACCTGTGGTAGGAGACGCACTAGCACCTAGAGCGTCGGCAGACTCACGGGCACCTAGAGCTGCAGCAGACTCACTAGCACCTGGAGTGGCAGCAGACTCACTAGCACCTGGAGTAGCAGCAGACTCACTAGCACCAAGAGCAGCAGTCTTAACAAAACGATAACCTCCACCACCAGGACGACCTCGCTGAATAACCCACTCACGAAGCTGCTGAGGGGTGGGGTTGTCCGGGAGAAGCAGTGCCCGCTGCTGTCCACCCCTGACCGCAGCAACTGCCGCGGAAGTGGCCATGACAGACAGTGACGGTCAGGAGTAGGTCCAGCACCTCCAGCTCCTACAGCACCAGCAGCACCTCCTGCACTCCCAGCAGCACCTCCACCACTCCCAGTAGCACGAGTAGCAGCAGCAGCAGTAAGAGCAGCAGGGCGGCGCGCGGCCAGAGCAGGGCGGCGCGCGGCCACAGCAGGGCAGTAGTAGGCAGTAGCTCCTAGGGCAGAAGCACCTAGGGCCCCTTTTTTTTTTTTTTTTTTTAATAAACAATTTAATTATATTTAGGGTATAGCAGGGCGCTGGCGCAGGGCAGGGCGCGGGCGCAGGGCAGGGCGCTGGCGCAGGCTGCAGCAGTGCGTGACGCAAGGGGCAGCAGAGCGCGACGCGACGGGCTGCCTTAGGGCGCGACGCGCGGGCTGCAGCAGAGCGCGACGCGCGAGGCAGCAGCGCGCGACTCGTGGGCTGCGTTAGGGCGCGGGCTGTAGGGGCAGGACGCACGGGCTCCAGGGGCGGTGTGCGGGCTCCAGGCTGCAGGGGCTGCGCGGACAGGCTGCAGAGGCGACGCGCGGCTCAGCAGGTCCGCGCGCGAGCTGTAGGGGCGGCGCGAACGGGCCGCAGAGGCGGCGCGCGGGCTCCAGGGGCGACGCACGGGCTGCAGGGGCCGCGCGGACGGGCTGCAGAGGCGACGCGCGGCTCGGTAGGTCTGCGCGCGGGCTGCAGGGGCAGTGTGAACGGGCTGCAGAGGCAGCGTGAACGGGCTGCAGGGGCAGCGTGAACGGGCTGCAGGGGCAGCATGAACGGGCTGCAGGGGCAGCGTGAACGGGCTGCTGGGGCAGCGTGAACGGGCTGCAGGGGCAGCGTGAACGGGCTGCAGGGGCGACGTACGGGCTGCAGGAGCGACGTACGGGCTGCAGGGGCAGCACGCGGGCCACAGGGGCAGGCGCGGCTGCAGGGGCAGCACGGTAGCAGGGGCGAGCACGGCTGCAGGGGCAGCACGGTCGTAGGGGCGAGCACGGCTGCAGGGGCAGCGCGGTCGCAGGGGCAGCGCACGGGCTGCAAGGGTCGCGACAGTGAGAGCTAGGGGCGCCAGCGCGCTGGCTACTGTGTAGGGCGTGGCGCTACCACTAGGCGGAACGGTGGGCCCATGTAGGAACGGATAACATGTCAAGAATAGAACTAGGAATGAATGATGGACTAGGTAGCATGTATGAGTACAAGTACCTAACCCTCAAGTGTTGTACCCCTTGTAGGCTAACCCACTATAGCCTAGAGATAACACAAACATACAGTTTGACAACACTTGCACAAAGAATGATAGGTTCATCATGTATATTCTATGCTTAAGAAATTTCTTAAACCGTAGTTAATTTAGTGTATCCATGCTTGGTGTCGAATACACTAAAGAACAATTTACAAGGAGGAATGGATTGGCAGGGTAGCACCAGCAGCGACACCAATTCCATATAATCACCACCACCAGTGCCACCATCCATCCAAGGTTTTCCCCTCCATGATTCTCCTCATTTCCTCCACATACTCGCGCTGCAGCCCCGCTCTCCTTGCTCCTTCACCGCCACAATCACTGTCACGAGCAGCAGCAGCAGCAGCAGCAGCAGCAGCAGCAGCAGCACCCCATTACCACCACTGCCACCATCTTTAAGTTTTTCCCTCCATGATTCTCCTCATTTCCTCCCCATACTCTCTCCGCAACCCCGCTCTCCTTGCTCTGTTACCATGCTATTCCCACCATCACCACCACCACCATCACCACCACCACCATCACCACTGCCACCACCACCACCATCACCACCACCACCATCATCACCACCATCACCACCATCACCATCACCACCGTCACCACCACTGCCACCATCCATCCAAGGTATTCCCATCCATGATTCTTCTCATTTCATCAACATAATCTCGCCTCAACCCCGCTCTCCTTGCTCCTTGGCAGGGAGTCGGGAGTAAGCTTCTGGTGACCATATCATCCCCACCACCACTGCCACCACCACCACTGCCACCACCACCACTGCCACCACCACCACTGCCACCACCACCACTGCCACCACCACCACTGCCACCACCACCACCATCACCAACATCACCACCACCATCACCACCCCCATCACCACCCACCATCACCACCAGCACCACTGTCACCACCAGTGCCACCACCCATCCAGGGAATTCCCATCCATGAGTCTTCTCATCTCCTCCACATACTCTCGCCTCGCCGCAACCCCACTCTGCTTGATACGTTACCATGTTATTGCCAACACCTTATCACCACCAGTGCCACCACCCATCCAGGGAATTCCCATCCATGATTCTCCTCATTTCCTCCACATACTCTCGCCGCAACCCCACTCTCCTTGCTCCTACCGCTGTACATGGTTCCCAGATCATTCTCACCACCAGCATCACCACCACTGCCACCACCCATCCAGGGTCTTCCCATCCATGATTCTCCTCATTTCATCAACATACTCTCCCCGCAACCCCACTCTGCTTGATACGTTACCATGTTATTGCCAACACCTTATCACCACCAGTGCCACCACCCATCCAGGGAATTCCCATCCATGATTCTCCTCATTTCCTCCACATACTCTCGCCGCAACCCCACTCTCCTTGCTCCTACCGCTGTACATGGTTCCCAGATCATTCTCATCACCAGCATCACCACCACTGCCACCACCCATCCAGGGTCTTCCCATCCATGATTCTCCTCATTTCATCAACATACTCTCCCCGCAACCCCACTCGGCTTGATACGTTACCATGTTATTGCCAACACCTTATCACCACCAGTGCCACCACCCATCCTGGGAATTCCCATCCGCGAGTCTTCTCATCTCCTCCACATACTCTCGCTGCAACCCCACTCACTTTCCTCCGTCACCATGTTATTCCCACCACCACCAGCATCACCACCACTGCCACCACCCATCCAGGGTCTTCCCATCCATGATTCTCCTCATTTCATCCCCATACTGTTGCCGCAACCCCGCTCTCCTTGATGCCTACATGGTTCCAGATCATTCCCACTCCCACCACCATCACTGTCACGAGCGGCAGCATCAGCAGCACCACACCATCACCACCAGTGCCACCACCCATCCAAGGTATTCCCATCCATGATTCGCCTCATCTCCTCCACATACTCTCGCTGCAACCCTGCTCTCCTTGCTCCTTTGAGCAATAACCCATGGTAGCGAGCAGAGGGGGGCAACTCCTTGCGACCACCACCACCACCACCACCATCACCACCACTGCCACCACCCATCCAGGGAATTCCCATCCATGATTCTCCTCATTTCCTCCACATACTCTCGCTGCAAACCCGCTTTCCTCGCGCCTTTGAGCAACAACCCGCGGTAGCGAGCAGAGGGGGGCAGCTCCTTGCGAGGGGGGAGGAACGAGGGGCTGTTGGGATTGGCGCGGAGAGTAAGGGCCTGGGATAGACGGTGGGGAAGGGGGGAAAGATTGCTCCTTTAAGCAACAATCCGTGGTAGCAAGAAGAGGGGGTCAGCTCCTTGTGAGGGGGGAGGAACGAGGGGCTGTTGGGGTTGGCACGGAGGGTCAGGGCCTGGGATAGAGGGTGGGGAAGGGGGGAAAGGTTGCTCCTTTAAGCAACAATCCGTGGTAGCAAGAAGAGGGGGTCAGCTCCTTGTGAGGGGGGAGGAACGAGGGGCTGTTGGGGTTGGCACGGAGGGTCAGGGCCTGGGATAGAGGGGGCGAGGGGGGTGGGGGGGATGTTTGAGAGAGTGGGGAAGGGGGGAAATGTTGCTCCTTTGAGCAACAACCCGCGGTAGCGAGCAGAGGGGGTCAGCTCCTTGTGAGGGGGGAGGAACGAGGGGCTGTTGGGGTTGGCACGGAGGGTCAGGGCCTGGGATCGAGGGGGCGAGGGGGTTGGGGGGGATGTTTGAGAGAGTGGGGAAGGGGGGAAAGGTTGCTCCTTTGAGCAACAGCCCGCGGTAGCGAGCAGAGGGGGTCAGCTCCTTGTGAGGGGGGAGGAACGAGGGGCTGTTGGGGTTGGCACGGAGGGTTAGGGCCTGGTGCAAGGGGGTTTTGGGTTTTTTTGGGGGGAGAGGACGCGGTTGAGAGACTATAACACCTTGTTCCTTTGTGCAGCAACCCGCGGTAGCGAGCAGAGGGGGGCAGCTCCTTGTGAGGCGGGAGGAACGAGGGGCTCTTGGGGTTGGCGCGGAGGGTTAATGCCTGGTGCAAAGAGGGGTTTTGGGGGAGTGGGGGGCGGTTGGGAGAGAGTAGGACACCTTGCTCCTTTAAGCAACAATCCGCAGTAGCGAGCTGAGGGGGGCAGCTCCTTGCGAGGGGGGAGGAACGAGGGGCTCTTGGGGTTGGCGCGGAGAGTAAGGGCCTGGGATAGAGGGTGGGGAAGGGGGGAAAGGTTGCTCCTTTAAGCAACAATCCGCGGTAGCGAGCTGAGGGGGGAAGCTCCTTGCGAGGGGGGAGGAACGAGGGGCTCCTGGGGTTGGCTCGAAGAGTTAGGGCCTGGAATGGAGGGGAGGAGGGGAGAGAGGAGAAACGGCGAGCAGAGCGGGGCAGCTCCTTGTGGGGGGGGAGGAATGAGGGGCTCCTGGGGTTGGCGCGGAGAGTAAGGGCCTGGGATAGAGGGTGGGGAAGGGGGGGGGGGGGGTGGGGGGGATGTTTGAGAGAGTGGGGAAGGGGGGAAAGGTTGCTCCTTTAAGCAACAACCCGCGGTAGCGAGCAGAGGGGGTCAGCTCCTTGTGGGGGGGGAGGAATGAGGGGCTCCTGGGGTTGGCGCGGAGAGTAAGGGCCTGGGATAGAGGGTGGGGAAGGGGGGGTTGGGTTTGAGAGAGTGGGGAAGGGGGGGAAGGTTCCTCCTTTAAGCAGCAGCCTGGTGTAAGGGGGGGTTTTGGGGTGTGGGGGGCGGTTGAGAGAGTTTAAGACACCTTGTTCCTTTGAGCAGCAACCCGCAGTAGCGAGCAGAGGGGGGCAGCTCCTTGCGAGGGGGGAGGAACAAGGGGCTCCTGGGGTTGGCGCGGAGGGTTATGGCCTGGTGCAAGGGGGAAGGGATAAAAAGGGGCGGATGGGGGGAAGAGAGGAGAAACGGCGAGCAGAGGGGGGCAGCTCCTTGCGAGGCGGGAGGAACGAGGGGCTCTTGGGGTTGGCTCGGAGCGTAAGGGCCTGGTGCAAGGGTTGTTGTTGGATAGAGTGGGAAGCGGTAAAGAATGGGAAGAGAGGAGAAACATCAAGCAGAGGGGGGCAGCTCCTTGCGAGGCGGGAGGAACGAGGGGCTCTTGGGGTTGGCGCGGAGGGTTAAAGCCTGGTGAAAGGGGGTTTTGGGGGAGTGGGGGGCGGTTGGGAGAGAGTAGGACACCTTGCTCCTTTGAGCAACAACCCGCAGTAGCGAGCAGAGGGGGGCAGCTCCTTGCGAGGGGGAAGAAACGAGGGGCTCCTGGGGTTGGCGCGGAGAGTTAATGCCTGGTGTAGAGAGGGCGTGGAGAGAAAAGGGAGGGAGGGGAGGCAAAACAGCGAGCTGAGGGGGGCAGCTCCTTGTGAGGGGGGAGGAAGGAGGGGCTCGTGGGGTTGGCGCGGAGGGTTAGGGCCTGGGATGGGAAGAGTGAACAATCAAACCATTATGCAAACATGCTTAAATTGGACAGACAAATAAAACATTTAAGAAAAAATGTCAAGGAAGAAGAAGAAGAAGAAGAAGAAGAAGAAGAAAAGGAAGCCAGTCACAGCACGAATAAGATCAAGTGCACCGTGCAAATTACCTGTACAGTACTGCCAGAGTAAGTATGTGCTGTAACGAGGTGCTCTATATAGGGCCGCTGCTCGTTGCGAGAAATGCCCTCTGACCTGACAGGAAGGGGGGAAGAGAGAGGGAGCGAGGAACAAAATTTCGTGGAGAAGCTGTCTGTGTGTGTGTGTGTGTGTGTGTGTGTGTGTGTGTGTGTGTGTGTGTGTGTGTGTGTGTGTGTGTGTGTGCGCGTGCGTGTGTCTGTGTGTCTGCGTGTGTGTGTGTGTGTGTGTGTGTGCGCGCGCGCGCGCGTGTGTCTGTGTGTCTGCGTGTGTGTGTGTGTGTGTGTGTGTGTGTGTGTGTGTGTGTGTGTGTGTGTGTGTGTGTGTGTAGTCTGATTATGTGTAAGTAAATCTGTGGGTGCATGCATGAGCAGTTTCTAAGCATTCTGAAAAACCAAAAGCAAGTGTGTTCCCCACCCGGAAGAAGGGGGAAGGGGACTAAAGGGGGCAGACACAGTTAAGAGAATAAACATGACCACATGCCAACTCCCCACATAGTCGATTTGCCGCATCTGCACCACCAGCCCATGATGCACACTCGACGAAAGAAGAGGAAGAGGGTGGGGAAGAGGGAGAGGGTGGGGAAGAGGGAGAGGGTCAGGAAATGGGGGGAAACGACACGCCAACTCACCACATGAGCCGTTTGTAGTCGAATCGTCGCATCTGGACCACCAGCCCATGCACACTCGAAGGGGGAAAGATGAACCGAGAGGGAGAGCGGGTGGGGGGGAGGGGGGAGGGGAAGCAGGGGAGGAAGGGGAAGAGGGGAAGGAAGAGGGAGGAAACGACAAGGCACTCACCACATGAGCCGTTCGTAGTCGATTCGTCGCATCTGCACCACCAGCCCATGCACACTCGGACTTCCCTCGCTACCCTCCATCCCCGCTACAGCCGCCCCGTTTCGCGCTAAAGCAGAACCGGCCTCAGCTACAGCCGCCCTGCTTTGCGCTACAGCCGTTTCACTTCCCGTTACAGCTGGTCTGATCCCCCCGACTCTATCCCGCCTATTTGCCGCTACAGCCGGTCTTGACCTTGCGACAGGCTCAATTGCCGCTACAGCCGGTTCAAACGGCGGCAGCACGCGGATGTTGAACGCCAGGCGATGGTGGTACACCACCGCCGGCTCTGCTACAAACGGATCCTCCTCTGCTACAGCCGAACCCAGAATCTCTGCTAAAGGCGCGTTGACTCCCGTTGACCTCTTCAGTAGCAGATCCAGGTTGAGATTCGATCCGAACGCGAAGTAGTTGACTGTAGCGTAGGGTGACAATAACGAAGGATCGGATAAGATTGAGGGCCGGTCGGCTGTAGCGGGAGCTACAGCCGCCAGCCACGCCGCCAGGAGCAGCGAATCGGTCAGCTCGTTCGACCCCTTTCGCGGAAGCTTCTGGCCCATGGTCCAATCGATTTGGGAGACATTACTGGCGGCATTCTCTCGTTCCCCGCTCCCCCCTCCCCCACTTCTTTGAACTGCCGCTTTCGCGCTCTTCGATTCTTTCTCTCCGCTGTCCGGGGAAAGCGCTGCGCTCCGCGCGTGATTTGTGGATCGGAAGCGCGGTTGCGATGTTCGTGACCGAACGAGAGTGACTATTTGCGGGCGCAGTTTGCGGAAGGTTATCGGCGCCGTTGGATGCGGCGGCCTTATTATCCGGAAATCACATGGTTGGAAGGATCTGGAATGGTTACTAGCTATTAACGGGGACCGGACGGACGTGACTGCGTTTAGGAACAGCATGATCGAGCCGCAAAACCAGAAACTGACGACAAGTGTGGGGAAAACTGCGACAATCTCATCCCTGATAAATATTTTCATTACAATGCAACTTATTCGTTGATTGAACTATACGTTGTCCGGAATTCTTTGTAGAGCAGACGGGAAGTGCTTTGGCAATCGTTTTTTTGGTTCGGCCTGGAAGTGCCAGTAGGTTGGAAAATGGAGCTACGGTTTGGGTCCACCTGAGAATCGGCGCGCTGCTGGCAAGAAAGGTGTGGTATAGAAGCTGAGCGGGCAAAGATCAAATGCGGGCCAAACAACAGCAGAAAATGTTGAGAATACTAGGAAGGTATGTCGATTAGGAATTGGGTTGTACCCTCTAAGGAATGTCCCCTACACAACCTAGAGAGAAATAACTGGAAGTATATATAATTTGACACACCCCCATAGATGAAGTAGGGGATAGTCAAACCTAACAGTGGTCACAAGACCAGTCAAGCAGGAGAACAAACAAGGCAAAGCCCAGGGTGGATCTCTAGGACACCACACAATCTGAGCACAAGCAGGTGGCCACAAAGCCAGTTCACATGCAGTTTTATAATAGAGCAAGGAGTACAAGGATTACAACCTAGCAACCAGAAACATGCAGGTTTATATATAAGAGTACAAGACAACGTCAAGAGGTGAGCAAGTGAGGCCATGTAGGCACAAGACCTAACAGAGTACAAAAACGCTGATGATCACAAGGCTGAAGTGCCTTGGTAAAGATATCAGCAGTGTTGGCTCGAGTGGCCACGTAAGCAAGACGAAGCTGACCACGCTGCTGCAACTCTCGAGCAAGGAAGTAGCGCAGAGCAATGTGCTTCGTTATGTGCTCTAGTCTGTGCTCCTAACACAAGGCCAGCATGGCCTTGTTGTCAACGTACAAGACTGGAGGAGAACGAGGTGCCTCTCCTAAGTCGGTCAGCAGGTAGGTGAGCCAGCGTAACTCCTGTGCAGCCATGGCCCCAGCGTAGATCTCAGCCTCACAACTGGAGCTGAGAACAGAAGACGAGCGGGTAGACCGCCACGAAACAGAGCCGGAACCAAGGCTGAAGGTGTAACCCTGTGACGACCGCTGCGTAGCCAAGTCGTCAACCCAAGAAGCGTCTGCGTGATCAGTGAGGACAACTCGAGCCCGTCCTCCAAGCACGAGCCCCATGCCCGACGTACTGCACAGGTAGCGCAACACCCTCTTAGCTGCATCCATGTGCTCTGGTTGGTGTCTCCCAGGAGCAACATAGCGTGCCAAGATGCTAAGAGGGTATGCCAGGTCAGGTCGAGTGCAGGTCATCAGGTACATGAGGCAGCCAACAAGCTCTGGGTACGGGCCACTCGACTCTACGGACTCATCCGAAGGCAGGGCTGAGAGCGAGTGGCGAGTAGACAGAGGAGTGGCCTGAGGCGAGGAGTACGTGAAGTTGAAGCGCTGAAGGACCTGCTGCACCATGTGTGACTGAGTCAAGGTAATGGTGCGGCGTGCTCTGTCCCGGGTGATCTGCAAGCCAAGATAGCTGCGCAGCTCATCCAGGTCTGTGCACGTGTGTCTCTTCTGCAGCTCCGACTTCACGTGGGCCAGTCCAGCAGTGTCAGCAGTAGCAAAGACCAAGTCGTCGACGTACACGAGGATGTAGAATGGCGGCAGGGTAGTGTCGGTGCGGAGAAACAGCGACGGGTCAGCAGTGGAAGGAGCAAACCCAAGAGCCGCAAGCGTAGTTCTCAGTGTGTCGTGCCACTCACGGGGCGCCTGGCGGAGACCGTAGACTGGCCGCCGGAGGCTCCACTGGGTACCAGGAGGGAACGACCCAGTGAAGCCAGGTGGGCGGCGCAGCCAGATCTCCTCGTGCAGGCTTCCCTGTAGGAAGGCTGTGCTGAAGTCAAGAGAGTGAAGCTCGTAGTCACGCTGAGCAGCGACGTGCAACAGTACCCGAAGAGTGGGCATCTTCGGGGTGGGAGAGAAGGTCTGAAAGTAGTCAACTCCCTGCCGCTGACTGAAGCCTCGAGCCACGTAGCGCGCCTTGAAGACAGGCGGAGAACCCGGCGGCCGCTTCACCCTGAAAATCCACATGCCATCGACAATGTTCGCCCCAGGTGGGGGAACCTCGTCGACGTAGGTGCCTGTGGACTTCCAGGAAGCCATCTCTGCATCCATGGCTGTCTGCCACTGAGAGGAGTAGGGACCCTCTATCGCCTCTGCGTAAGAGCGCGGAGTCGGGATGTCTGGTGCATCCGGGTCTCCCTCAGGGGCAAGCAGCATGGACACGAGATGAGGTAAAGCAGCAGCAAAACACTGGAACTCCTCCTGCCTGTCCTCAAGGACGTCCGTGCTAAGAGCACACTCACCCCCGATGGACGGAGGACAGACAGAATCAGACTCAGCAACAAGACTAGTGGCGTAGTCCAGACGACAGTGAGCAGCAAAGTCGACAAGCTCAGCAACTAAGGCAGACGCAGCAGTGGACTCAAAGGAAGGGTCAGTGACAACAGTGGCCAGGAGACGCGTGACAGTAGGACTAGCAGCACGAAGGGAGTCAGACTCCGGGTCAGCAAGGGCAGGAAGAGAGGAAGCAGGAGGAGACGGCAGAGGAACACGCTGTGGAACAGTGGAAGGACGGAGAGCCATCTGGTGCGTGCCAGGGACAGGAGGAAGACGCTGACGCGAAACACGACGACTAGTGCGAGCAGCACGAACAGGCGACGCAGGACGAGACTCAGGCTCACGACGCTCTGCAAGACCTCCGGTCGGACCAGCGTAAGGAGAAGGAGCAGGCAGTGGGGAGGCGGGCTGTAACTGTGACTGCGACTGGACACGCGGTGGACACTCTAAGGAAGGAGCAGGACCAGTAGAGGGCGGGAGATCAAGAACCTGCTAAAGGAGCGGAACGAAGTACGGCCTCGGCCGCGCAGCGCCTCCAGAACCAGCAGGGATAGCACCAGCACCCCCAGTGTCAGCTCCAACGCCAGCAGCACCAGTAGCGCCAACTCCAGCACCCACAGCAGCTCCAGCCCCAGCAGGACCACCAGAAGCCCCAGTAGCCTCAGTAGCGCCAGCTCCAGCACCTCCAGTAGCTCCAGCAGCACCTCCAGCAGCTCTAGCAGCACCTCCAGCAGCTCCAGCAGCACCTCCAGCAGCTCCAGTAGCACCTCCAGCAGCACCAACTCCAGCACCTCCAGCACCTCCAGCAGCACCACCTGGCCCAGCAGCTCCAATAGCTCCAGTACGAGCACCTCCGGGACCAGTGGCTCCAGAACCCCCAGCAGGACCGCCAGCGCCCGTAGCACCACCAGCTCCAGCAGCACGGCTCCAGCGCCTAGCAAACCACTCACGCAGCTGCTGTGGAGAGAGTGGCTCCCGTCGGGACGAAGCACCCGAGGGACCTCTAGGCTCAGCACCTCCAGACGCCACACGCGCAGGCTCAGCACCCGTAGGCTCCGCACCCCCAGGCTCAGCACCCCCAAGCTCAGCACCCCCAGACGCAGCACCCCCAGGCTCCACACGCTCAGGCTCAGCACCCCCAAACCCGGCACCCGCAGGCTCAGCACCCCTAGCAGCACCAGAGTCAACCGCTACCTCGACAGGCTCGAGTGCGTCTACCTGGGACACACCTGAGGGGGCAGGACCCTGAGGGGGGAGGGGGTCTACCGGGGGAGGACCTGGCGCGAGGAAGAGCAACAGGGGGGGGAGGGGGGCAGTGCGGTAGGGGAAGAGACGGTAGCAAGGAACCGACTCGTCAAACGTGACGTCCTGCGAGGACAGAACACGGCGCGAGGTGGGGTGGTAAAACTGCCAACCAGGCGCGTCAGGGGGGAAGCCAAGGAAGACGCAGGGAACAGCACGGGAGGACAGCTTGTCCGCAGACAAGTCGCGGACGAAAGCTCGAGATCCCCAGACACGGAACACAGACGCATCGCCAACCTTCCCCGTCCACCGCAGAGTAGGTGTGGTCTCCGGAACGGAGACCCGGGGCTGGAGGTTGATCTGATGCGCCGCGTACTGAACCGCGAACGGCCACAGAAAATGGGGAGCAGCCGCATGGATCATGGACGTACGAGCGACGTCCATGACCATGCCAATGCGGCGCTCAGCAATCCCATTTTGCTGTGGAGAGGCCGGAAGCGTGAACGTCTGGTGGATGCCCTCCGCACGACAGAAGGCCCTCAGAAGGTCGGAGGAAAACTCTCCACCTCTGTCTGAGTGCAGACGCAGAACAGGAAGGTCCGAGCCGAAACTCTTGCTGAGCTGACGACGAGCAGCGCGGATCCAGTCGATCAGCACCTCAGTGACTTCACCCTTGCGGCGCAAGGGGAAGACTATGGTGTAACGCGAGTAGTCGTCAACGACCAGCAGAAAGTAGCGCTCGTGACCCTGTCCACGGACGCGGGCTGGGCCCCACACGTCCATGTGAAGAGTCTGCAGGGGAGCCTCCGTCGGAAGGAACTCGGAGGAGTGAGGAGCGGCGCGCTGCCGCCCCTCGACGCAAGGAACGCAGGTAGGGGCAGGCCCCGGGGGAAGGGGAGGGAGAGACGGGGGAAGACCAGTGACAAGGACCCGGGAGGCCATGCCTCGGAGACGAGGCAGGGAGGGGTGACCAAGGCGGTGGTGCCAGAGGAGAGTCTCGTGAGACAGGAGGCGACACGAGCAG